CGTCCCTGATCCTTGATCGTCGACGGATGTCAGAACTCCGGATTCCTTCTCTCATTTGAGTGAAACGTGATATTCCAAGCATAGCTCTTTCTATTCTTCTTTGGGAGACCTGAATGGCGTTCTCATCTTGTTTGCGTAGGGCCCAGGTCTCTGAGGCATATGTTAATGCAGGAAGAACAGTGGAATCAAAGAGATGTGCCCGGAGCCGGAGGTTCTTCGTCCTCTTAGCTATTTCTTCGACGTTCTTGAAGGCGTTCCAAGCCGCTCTCTTCCTCCTGTGCAGTTCGGGTGCCAGGTCATTTGTCATGTTGACCTCTCGACCTAGGTACACATAGCTGTTGCATTCGGAGATGGTCGTTCCATTGAGAGCGAATGGGGCGTCAGGAACAAGGCTGTTTCTCATAAACATTGTCTTCGTAAGATTCAGCTGTAGTCCTACCTTTCCACACTCACGGTCAAAGTCGGCCAGCATTTGTGCCGCTTGGCTGATGTTTGGTGTTATTAAAACAATGTCATCAGCAAAGCGGAGGTGGTGTAGTTGCCGACCATCTATCTTCACTCCCATTCCTTCCCATTCCAGTCGTTGCATGATGTTCTCGAGGGTGGCACTGAAGAGTTTTGGTGAAATGGTATCACCCTGCCGCACCCCTCTCTTGACATCAACGATCACTTCTTTGTAGAATGGTGAGATCCTGGTAGTGAATCCGCAATACAGCTCACGGAGGATCCTGATGTATTGGGCTTGAATGCCCTGATTGACTAGGGCTTCAATGACCGCTTCCGTCTCAACAGAATCAAAGGCCTTCTTTAAATCAATGAACGTTAAGCAGAGCGGCATCTTGAACTCCCGAGAAACCTCAATGAGTTTGGTTATCGTGTGGATATGGTCGATGGTGCTGAATCCTTTGCGGAACCCTGCTTGCTCGCATGGTTGTCCTTCATCTAGTGTTCTGCCAATCCTATTCAGGATGACTCGAGTGAACAACTTGTAGATGACAGACAATAGGCAGATCGGGCGATAGTTGCCAATGTCATGGATGTCTCCCTTCTTGAACAGTAGTACGGTCCTGCTGGTTTTCCATTGAGATGGAACCTTGCATTCAGACAGGTAGCGAGTGAAGAGCCGAGCCAGTGTATTGATGAGTACTGACGGCAGGTTCTTCAGGTGTTCAGGTCTGACCTTGTCTGGGCCGGGTGCTGTTTGTTTCTTTACTGATGAAATGGCGTGTCGGATTTCGGAAGGGAGAACGTTGGGAACGACATACCCATCCTGTGGAATTTGGTATGTCGGCAAGTGGACATGGCTATCAAAGAGATTTGAGTAGAAGTCATGGATAATCTTCTCCATTGCCGTTCTGGAGGATGTGATGGATCCATCAGGACGTCGGAGGGCAGTCATCTTGGTCTTATAGTTGGCGAAGGACAGGCGGGCGTTACGAATACTTTTCCCGGCTTCTGCCGCATCTACCAGTACTTCTGCTCTTCTCTCTTTGAGGTCTTCCTTGATCGCATCTCTGCACTGCTTTGCAAGCTCGGACGTTAGCTTGCGGTTGCCTGAGGCATGCGCCAAACCACGCTGGCGAATTAGCTCAAGAGTTTTCGAAGATAGGCGACTTTTTGTGGCTATCTCTCTCTTGGCGTTCCTCGCACATTCATGGAGGTGCTGAACCAGTCGATCGTATTCCTCGTCAATGTTGTCAACAATGGCATCTTCCCATGTTGCCGCAATAGTACCAAAGAGTTCCCAGTTGGTGGTCGTTCTGGGAGTTCTCTTTTTGAACTTTGCAGCCCTTTCTCCCCGCTCTGTGAAGTAGAATTTTGCACGAAGGAGACGGTGGTCCGATCCCGTTCGAAATTTTGGGACAACAGCGACATCAGTCAGGCAAAACCGTCGATTGAATATGATGTGGTCTATTTCGTTGTGGAATCGTCCACCGGGAGACTCCCATGTCCATCGTTTAGATTCTGCCTTCTGGAACTGTGAGTTACCATGAATGGTCTTGGTCGACATGATGAACTCAGACAGTCTCTCACCCTGTTCGTTCCATTCTAGGCCATGGGTTCCGATGTGAAGTTCTTCAGCTGATCTTCTCGGTCCTATCTTGGCATTAAAATCACCCACAATGATCTTGTAGAAGGTGTGGTCTTCTTTATAGAACTTCTCTAGCTCCATGTAGAACTTCTCGATTTCTCTTTCCTCATAATGAGATGTTGGTGCGTAGACAACGAAGATAGAAACTGCAGGCAGTGAGCCACATCTATTCAAATGTAAACGTCCGATTCGGGTTGTTAGGCATTCGAATGAATCAATGCTCTTGGCCAAGTTTGTGTTGACAAGGACACCGACGCCTCCAACACCTCTTTTATCGCATGTTCCGAGGAACAATTCTTCTCCAGTGTCGAAAACGGCATGGTGTGATTCGTGTCTTCTTGTCTCGGTCAGACCAATGATGTCGTACTTGATCATTCGCGCTTGTACCATCAGGTCCTCGATGGATGCATCTGATGCTAGAGTACGTGCATTGAAAGTACAGACGATCATTTTTGTCTTCCTTCGTTGTGGCAGCCTAGGTCGGCCTTGAGATTTTGTCGGCCTCTCCTTTCTCATCCTTCTCAGTGCTGCCATGTCGGTGAAGCCTTCAGGGTCAGGTGAATGAGACCAGTTGTAGTTACTGGTTTTGGCATATCGAATACACAGCGGATAGCTTGCCAGGCTCTTCCGTGCGGGCGGAATACTCTATTCCGCCCGCACGGAAGAGCCTGGCAAGCTATCCGCTGTGTATTCGATATGCCAAAACCAGTAACTACAACTGGTCTAGGGTGATTAGAGGTCACCCCAAAAGCCTCTATCCCTCTCGGAAAGACTGGCAAGCTACCGAGAGTAGAGAGATCTGAGATAAAGCTATAGAATCTTGCTTTTTATGATATGACTTCTTTTAAGCAAATTTAGTTGCACCAAGCCCCAAATATCCTGTGATCTTGGGAAATGAAGCTAATGGATATTTTGATTATCACAAAGACCTGTATGAAGCAGGGACCAGGGTTAATAGGCTTGCTTCTCCTTTAGTTTAAGTGGATGGCTAATAAGCATTAAATCCTCTGTAAGGCACATTGAATCTTGAGAGTCACTTTAGCAAGAGGAGTATTAAATAAAATTTTCAGTCTGATTTCTTTTAGAATCCAGAATTTACCATTAGAAATGGATTTGAATGAATTTAGTATTACATAATCAAGAAGGCAAAACCTTACGGATTGATGCTAATTTAGCAAAAATATAGTACGAATTATTGAGATTTTGGAATGAGAAAATGAACCAAAGTAAAGCAGTTTCATTACTTTCAAATCAAACCAATAAAATTATGCTTTCAAGAGACAGTCTGCAAGTCTTTCAATTATAAACAGCTAGGACTTGTGATTAGTTCCATTAAACTTCTCTAGATGTAAACTATTGTTTACATCATAGATGTAATGGCAACTTTTAGCTCAATCTTTGTTAAAAGGTTACAAATTCCAGATCAAAGAAGTCTGGATGAATGAGAACAATTACATCACATTCCAAAAAATAGTCTTGCAGATGGAAGGTCTTTGAAATGACCTCTTTCAGTAACTGTATCATCTCAACACTTTTAGCAGCCTTCTGCTGTTTCTTCATCTCAAGTAGAAAAAAACCCACAGTATTTGGATGGCAAATATTCCACTAGGGAAACATTTTAGTCTGAAAGCAGGTCAGTCTGAAACCTGAGCTAACAGTAATTTGGGGGGCTTAGGGTAAAAGGTTAAAGGAAAATGGGTAGAGAAGGAAAGGAGAGGAGAGGGGATGAGGTGGGTGAAAAAAGAAGGAAAGGCTAGACTGTTTCATGAATTGTAATTTAATTTTTGCTTTAAGGGTTTATAACTTGTAATTTCATTTTAATAATAAAGATAAAACATTTAACACGAAAAATGTCTAAGATCTTACCCTAATGTACTTCCTACTTCATAGGAAATAGGAAGTACGTCCTACTTCACATTTACTGAACGTTGAGTATGGCACTTGGTCAAGTATAATACACTTTATTTTCTGTTAGTCTTTTGGACCCCAAAAATATTTGCCAGAAATATCATTATAATTTAGTAATATTGTAAACAATCAAATTTAGGTTCCCTATTGACCTCTGGTATACTTTGTCCAGTATCTCCTGCAGAATGGTCTGAAAGGCCTAATATTAGTTGATGAATAGTCAGAATTTACTTACTGACTCCAGGCTGTGCAAAAATGTCAATTCAGATGTTTTCAGAACATAATTGTATCTAAGTAGTCTCAAAGGTATTCCCTAATGGATCCCTTAATAGTGAACATATCCACTCAGATCAACAGCAGCAAGCAACTATGATAGAGCAAATTCTGCCTCCCCAACACCAGAGATAAAATAGGTAGAGAAATGTTCTTACTAGGGACAGTCACAGAAAATATCTATGCACTTTAAAACTTAGAATGTCATCAATTTCTTTTTAGTTTATTAATAGTCTCCCTATCTTGAAAACCAGATATCACACTTTCAAAAAACTACTATTACTATTCTGTTTTACTTTGTTTTGTTTTTGGCCTCAACTGGCTGTGCTCAAGTTATTGCAATAACTTAGACTGATTCTACATTCAGGGATCACTACTGGCAGGCTCTGGGAAATGTATGAGATGCCTGGGATAGAATCCGGTCATCCTTGTGCATCCTACAACTACCCCATCCCTGCCCCCATTTAAAAAAAATTGATGACAAAATAACCGAGTTCTTGAAGTGATAGAAAATAGAGAGGGCATCCAGGTACATGGACGATCACAGGCCAAGGTTGTGGAAATTTGATTCTAAATGGAACTTAATGTTGCAACTTAGCAGGGAGTCCTCTACAGATAAACTGAGGGTGTGGGGACTCCTGGCTGAGCCTCCAGCTCTATGGTCCTGGGGAATTCTGGGTGTGCGGGTGGGACTGTACATCCAGCTTTTTGACCTCGGGGCAGTTACCTTGCAGCCTTCACAGGTGATGCAGCGGTAGTGATACCCAGTGGCCTTGTCACCGCACACTACACATAGCTCGTCCTTGTCTAAGTAACTGGGGATGTACCCTGTGAAGAAGGAAAACAGGACCGTGAGAATACAATAACATATTAAAGCCAAAAACACACCACAGCTAGGAGAAGGAGGTGAGGAGAGGAAGTAGGTGAGGGAGGGAAAACTGAGTGGTCTAATACATTTTTTGTTTGTCTGTTTGTTTTTAGGGTGGTGTTTGGGCCACACCTGGCTGTACTTAGGGCTTACTCCTTGCTCAGAGGTCACCCATGGCGGTGCTGGAGATTGATAGGGCGATGATCATGTGCAAGAACCAGTTCCTTAATCTTCGTACTATCTCTCTGGCCCTGATACATTTCTCTTTGCAATTTATATTTTATTTCATTTTTTTCATTGTTCATGGGTTAAAATATGATTTTAAAATTAATTTGAGTACTTTTTTTGCCTTAGGGTTTATATCTTGCAATAATTTAGACTTTTCCTGGTGTCAGGCACTGCACATGGTGGATGATAGAGAACATCTGTAGGCCTGGGAGGATGGAGCCCAGGCCTTCCACAGGCAAGGCAGGGCCCTGCTCTACCATTTGAACCACATCCTTGCCCAATAACTTAGTGTGTGTGTGTGTGTGTGTGTGTGTGTGTGTGTGTGTGTGTGTGTTTTGCTTTTTTTGGGTCAGACCCGTGCACAGGGGTCACTCCTGGCTCATACACTCAGGAATCACTCCAGGTGGTGCTTGGGGGACCCTATGGGATGCTGGGAATCGAACCTGGGTCAGCCACATGCAAGGCAAAAGCCCTACCCGCTGTTCTATCACTCCAGACCCAACTTAGTTTTAAATATAAAAGGCAAGTAAGACATCTCAGAAGAAAAAAAGAAATGTCTTCCTTGGACTTACTGTTCTGCCTCATACTCTTATACTTACCTCATACTTTCCTGTACAAGGGCCACCCATAGCATAAGTGAAAGGTGAGGCCTGCAGTGGGGGACCAGTAGGACCACAAACAGTGGTTTTGGGACCACCAGAGTTACTTCCAGCAGAGCTGGGGAGCAGTTGTGGTTCTCTCCTGCCCCCTTTCTACATGTTATCTGACACGTGGAGCCAGATTTTAGAACACCTCAGAAATATGAGTGCCTACTCTTGCTTTCTGGGTTGGAACAGTGTGATGGTTGTTGGAGTTCTGTAGGGAGGCTGGGATGCTCAGGTTCCTAATAATACAAATTCTATTGACAAGGCTTGTTTGCAAACTTGTTCTTAGGAGACTTAATTCAACATGGAATCACTGGATTCACTATGGAATCAAACTCAGAATGTTCCTGGGAAGGTCCTGGATGATCAGAGATGGACCCTCCTTAGGGACACAGAAGAAAAAAGCAGGAGAGACGGAAATCCACATCTCCACATTTTAAATTCTTTAGTATAAGTTTATGCTGGCATTTTTCTAAAAATAGTTGAAGTAGAATAAATAAATGGTATCTCAAAAAAGCGGTATTAGAGGAGCTGGGGATATAGCTCAGTGTTAAAGCACATGGCTTGCATGTATGAGATCTGGGTTCTATTCCCGGCAATACACATATAAACATACACAATATTAGGGTAATAGTTTCATACATATAACCCAATATGATTTTTGTACACTTAGTTTATTAGCGTAAGTCCCTTGACTCAACAAGCTAAATTCTAAAAACAAAAAGGCAGCCTACTTCTTCAGCTGTCTTCTTTACCTGCCTTTTTCCTTTCACTTGTATAAAATTTCCTCCCAAGAAACTGATTCTGAAGGGTAAATTTGTATATTTCAAAGTTACAAAGAAGCGCAAAGCTTTAGATAGAGCCAAACAGTCCTAACAATGCCTGGATTTGGGGGCTGTAGAGAAGAGAAAGTCTGATAAAATAAAATCATTCTTTTTCCTGAAAATGACCCATTATAAAGCTCTTTGACTCAGTAAACTTAATAGTTTCAATAAAGATTAGCCAGATTGAAATGACAGATAAGTTACTGTATGTTTTTACCACATTTCACTGATCTTTTTATTAAACTAGGTCACTGAAGGCTTGTTATTCAGAAAAAATAATCCATAAAGAAAACAAATTCCTTTTCTTAGAAATTACTTTGCTCAGACTTTATTTTATAAAAATTTCCCTTCTTGAGAGGTAGATAATTGACTTTAATGTGAGGTTTGGTAATGTTAAGTATTATCTTTTTAAATATCATATCTTTTCTTAGTTTACTTTTGCATCATGCAAACCATGATTCATCTGTTGAGTTCACTTCAAGGGTTTCAAAACTCTCATAGACATTTAGAAAAGAGAATACTGAGAGGGTTCTCAGCAGAGAAAAGGGGAAATGGAATGATTTTGTGTACAATTATCTATTTATAATTTTAGAAAGCATTTTATTTAGATCTACTATGAGTTTTGTACTGTGCTTGAGACTAAGAATGTACAAAAAAGACATACTTCCTTTCTTTGAGAGGAATATGTGTAAATAATTGAGTTTTGTATTTCCAATATTCAGCATTCTTCAATAAGAGGAAAATAATGTGAAAATGAAAAAAAGAGCATGGAAAAATGCTCAACACTTCAGCAAGGAAATGCAAACTCAAATCACAATGAGATAAAATTTAAATCTCCGAGAAAAAACTATAAAAATATACAATTACAGATAATAACAAATGCTAGCAAGGATATGAAAAATGGTAAACCTTATAAATTGTTGGTAAGAATGCAAAAGAATGTTTTGGAAAAATAATTTGACAGTTCCTTAAATGATTAAACACAAAGTTACATAGGATCCAACAACTCCAATCCTAGATATATACCCAAGAGAGATGAAAACATCTGTACTGGTGAAAACTTTCACACATGTGTTTAAAGCAGCATTATTAAAAATAGGTGTAAATAACCCGATATCCACCAAATGAATGGATAAGCACAATATAGCACACCCATATAATGTAATATTTGACCACAGAAAGGCATGAAGTGTTATTAAAGCCTATGCCATGAATGAATCTTAAAAACATCATACCAAACTAAAGAAGTCAGACAGAAAAGGTCATATAGTGCATAAGTCCATTAATATGTTATATCAAGGTTAGGCAAATTAATAGAAACATAAATAGATAAGACTGGACTCTGATGACAGGGAGACAGAACTAAGGAAAGTTAGGGCAATGCTGTCTCCTACGATAGAGAAAGGAGAATTTCCATATCCAGAACAGGCTAGTTAAGATGCCATGAAGAATGGAGACTTAAATTTGTGCATTTTATATAACATGTTCAACATTAACCTTGTGCTTTAAAATCCATTGCCCTTTATACTCCGAAGAGTTTAGCTTGCTGTTTAGATGTCTTATTTACATGATCACAGACCCTAAATTTCAAGATTGTAGACTGCTTTCTGATAGCACTGACTCAAATTTAATAAGAAGTACTATTAAAATTAATAAGAAAGTGTATCAGTCATTGAGTCACCCAAACACAGTTTTTCAGAGTCCCACGTGTAAGGGAAAAAAACCCAATAAAAATCTGAACAGGGTTCTGTGTCTAGAGAACTAATTATAAAGTGTGTAGAGTTGTGGAGAAATTTAGAGAGAAACTAGTCAGAGATGCTCTGGACTTCATTAGCACTTACTCAGATTCCTGTGATCAATCTTGAAGAATCAAAAACAATGTCTGAACTATTTCCTTACAAAGTCCTGATTTTATTTCATTTATTTTTTGCATAAAAATTGGAAATAAAGTTTTATTACTACAAAATGTTACATAATAATGCAAACAAATAAGAGTTTCATTTACTTTTCTTACTTATTTCATACTATATAAGCATTGAAATGAGACTTTGCTTTAATATAAAATCTTAATTTTTTTTCTTAATTTTTACTTTTGAAACACCATGAGGTACAGTTGTAGACTTACAAATTTTTGTGCTTGGGTTTCAGTTATACAATGATCGAGTACCCATCCCTCCACCAGTGCCCATTCTCCACCACCAATGATCCCAGTATCTTGCTCCCCCACCCCCCAGCCCACCCTGCCTTTGTGGCAGGGCATTCCCTTTTGTTCTCTCTCTCCTTTTGGGTGCTGTGGTTTGCAAAAGAGGCATTGAGTGGCAATCATGTTCGGTCTATAGTTTACTTTCAGCATGCATCTCCCATCCTGGGAGGATCCTCCCAACACCCTTTACTTGGTGCTCCCTTCTCTATCTGAGCTGCCTTTTCCCCTAGCATGTGCGGCTAGCCTTCAAGACATGGAGTGAACCTTCTGGTACTTATCTAGGCTATTCTTGGGTGTTAGTCTCCTATTTCGTTACTTTATATTCCCCAGATGAATGCAATCTTTCTATGTCTGTCCCTCTCTTCCTGACTCATTTCACTTAGCATGATACTTTCCATGTAGTACCACTTGTATGTAAATTTTATGACTTCATCACAAACCTGATTTTAAATAAAAAATGATATGGGCTGGAATTAATATTTTGTCTTGAATGTAGATGATCCTTTTCTATTCTTGGAACCTCATAAGATCCCCAAGAACTACCAGAAGTGACTCCTGAGCAAGGAGTAGCTCAGACAGACAGTAGTACAGAAAAGGAGTAGCTCCTGTACACTACTAAATGTAACCTTGGCTCTCATCCAGTACTAGTCAAAAAAGGTACAGAGGGGCAGGACAGATAGTACAATGGTTAGGGCATTTGCTTTGTATAGGGCTGACCTAACTTTGATCAGCTATTCCATATGGTCTTCAGAGCACTGTAAGGAGTAAGTCATGATTGCAGAGCTACGAGTAATCCCTGAGCATCATCAGGTGTGACCCAAAAAGTGAAAAAGAAAGTTACAGAATTAATGCAGTCCACTGGAACAAAAATCAAAAGATTATAAATTAGTTTAAAAAAATAGAAAGAAAATTACCTCCTACCTCTTTAGCATTATACTAATAACCACCATGGCATTTTGTGTTATTAGGGATGTTAATAAATATCCCTAATAAACTACATTTTTGTGTTTATGACTATGATTTTGTGTTTATGACTATGACTGTGTGTGTATGTGCGCACA